CATGGTCACTGTGTAGGATCCAGATTCTCTGAGCAAATTCAGTTTCTTTGAGCAGCAGCATTACTTCTGTGCTACAGAGCCAAACCTATTTCAAATAATTTAAAAATACAAAATTCTAACCATTTTACATGAACTATTTTATGAAGTTCATTTTTTTCTTCAGTTTATTATTATATACACAATAATACACTAGAGAGAGAGAAGCTCCCAGCCCTCTAGTTCATCAGGAACATGCATGCTCTCATTCAGCAAATTTTAGGCCCAATGGAAAGCCAAACCTGGGGTGGGCCATTTGGCTTCCAGCACTACAGTTCAGTTTGTTACTGACTACGCCACTAGGCTGGGCCCAGTCCTGAGTTCTCATACAATCAGGTAATCACCACCACGATTCTCACTGTTCTTAAATTACGAATCATATCCTCTATGAAAGTCCTAGGTTCCACTTTGGGAAATGGTTATTGAGGGTTTAGAGAGCATTTCCACATGTATTACCCAATTTCACCCTTTGGTCAACACTCTCAGTTTGATACCATTATTTCCAGTAAGACACAAAACAGAGGCATGGAGAAGAATCATGAACATGGTCACACAAAGCTACTCAGTGAAAGAGAGAATGAATACAAACATTCAGACGAGCCTGATTTTCATTCGGCTCCATGAAAGCTAACACTGGGATAAGACCATCCGCAATCACAACTGTTTGAGTCCTTAACCCATCTAGCAATTGTTTAAAGCAGGTGTTATTGTTCTAACTTACACATAAGAATGTAGGAGTAGTGTCTTTAATCAATTTGCTCAAGGATACAGAGTTAGAAATAAATATCTCTGACACCAGAGCCTGAAATTCAAACTGTACAGTACGACAGTACAGCCTGCCCAATCCAGTTGTCACTAACCACATTTGGCTATTTGAGTGCTTGCAATGTGGCTACTCAAAACTTAAATGTACAGAAGAGTAAACTATACACAGGGTTTCAAAGACCTTTTTTTTTTTAAGAGAGAGAGGTATTTGCTATGGAGCATGTGCACTCACTGAAGGGACACACAGAGAGAGAGACAGAAGGCAAGAAATCACCCCCAGGAGGGATGGCCACTCCACAGTCCCTTTTCCTCATTCTCCTCTCAGGATTTTGGGCACATACACACATGTGCCTAGTGTGAGTTTTAAGATGTGGATTCTGGGACTCAAAATGCTAGCAACTACATGGAAGTCCAGCAACGTAATCTTAGGCAATCTGCTGGTCCCTCAAAGACCTATTTTTAATGTAAAATATCTCAATAATTTTTATATTGGTTCCATTTGAAATGATACAATTTTGGGTATATTGGAGTAAATAAATTATAACATTAAAATTAATTTCACCCTTTCTTTCTTTCTAGAAAAAAATTTGCCAGATGGCTCGCACACTGACTAGAAAGAGAAAGACACAGAGAGAAAGCACTCCCATGGGAAATAGGCTGCAATCCCTTTCCCTCTGCTCTCCTTCCTATTGGGTTTGGGGGCGCACACACACACACTTGGTGTGTTTCTCAAGCCAGATGGTTCAGGAATTGAACCACTTAGTCAGCCATGTAGGAGCCAGCTCCCTTAACCAGGCCACAGAGTCGGCCCCTTTTTACTTTTCTCTTTTTTTAAGAATTATTTTATTTAACTTTAATTAATTCTTTATTTATTTTAAATTGATCAAATAGGAAGAGGAGAGAGAGAGAAAGTGAAGAAGCAAGCCACCAGGTCCAGGACTTGAACCATTGTCGGCCATGTGAGAGTCCAGCTCCCTTAACCACCACACGACTTGCTGGGCCCCCTTTTTACTTTTCTTAATGTGGTTCCCAGAAAGTTAAAAATCACATATGTAACGTATGTGCTGCTTTAATAAGTTGGGGCTGTCAGTGATTTTAGTTCTCAATCCTGTTGTGGTCAAGCCAGTTCTCCTTACTTTTTTATTCCAGAGTAAAAACATTACCAGGATGTACTGTTCTGTCCAGGGTTGCGTTATCTCTAGAGAGTAAAAGGTAGAAACAGGATTCTCCTTCTAGGGCCCCAGCTGTTTATGGTCATATTCTTTAACTCTCACACAGAATTATTGCTTTCATGTTTGGCAGAGGCATTTTATTAAAAATATTGGCTAATCAGTGACTTCTTAAAGGCATACACCAGAGGTATTTTTAAAAAATAATAAAGCAAAAAGAAAATGGTCATGGAGAGTCAATCCTGGATTCTAACTTTCTACTAAAGTATTTCCCTCTTTTTTTTCTTCTCTTTTTTTTTTTTTTTTTAGACATTTCTCCTCCATTCTCCTCTTGGGACTGCGGGCACACTTGCACATATGCCCATTGTGAGTTTCAAGCCTCCAGGTCCTGGACACAAACCACAGCCAGTCATGAGGGAGTCCAGCACACTAACTGCCATGCCACCTGTTGGTCCAATAACATTTTCTTCCTAAAATCTGCTTCATTTTAATTCCAAACCTTCCTTTTGTCCTCAGTATTAATTTATTAATCTTGAAAAGGGAAGAAGTCTTAAGTAGGAGTGTGCTTCTTTACCAGTATTGCGTAGAAGGTCTTAGAAAATTCACAGAAATGCATATTATAAGGAAAAAAGGGACTAGCAGATAGCATAATGTCTATGTTGCTGAACTCCCATGTAGTCGACCACGGTTCGAGTCCTCGACCTGGTGGCTTAAACTCACACTGGGCGCGTGTGCATGCATGCCCAAGATCCTGAGGGAGAATGGAGGAGAAGGGAAAGCGGTGTGACCATGCCCCCTGGGGAGAGACAGAAAGCGAGAAATCACCCCCCAGGGGGGATGGCCACGCCACAATCCCTTCTCCTCCGTTCTCCTCTCGGGATCTTGGGCACACACGCACACATGCCTGGTGTGAGTTTTAAGTCACCAGGTCCGGGACGCAAACCACGGTCGACTACATGTGAGTCCAGCGACATAGCCATTACGCTAACTGATGGTCCCTATTTGTAGGTTTTTGAGAAATATCCATATTGTTTTCTACAAAGGTTGGGCTAATTAATATTCCCACCGACAGTGTAAGAGGGTTCCCTTTTCAACATGGCCACATTAACACTTGGCATTCTTCCTTTCTTTTTCTTTTCTTCTATGCTAACCATTCTAATTGGGGTTAAATGGTATCTCATTGTGGTTTTAATTTGCATTTTCCTTTTAACAAGAGACTTTGCACATTTTTTCCATATACCTCTTGGCCATTCATAAGTCTTCCGTAAAGAATTTTCTATTCATTTATCCATTTTAAAATTGGATTATTCATTTTTTATGAGTGAGCTACTTAAGTTCCCTACATATTCTACATGTCGATCTTTTGTCTGATGAATAATTTTTAAATAGTTGTTCAATTACCTGAGACATTCTTCACAGAAACAGAAAAAACAATTATAAAATTTGTCTGGGATAATAAAAGATCCCATATTGTCAAGGTAAAACTGTGCCATCAGAATAAATAGGAGGCAGGGCTGGCAGGTGGCATGGTGGTTAAGGGCATTGGACTCCCATATAGTCAACCATGGTCCAAGTCCTGGACCTGACAGCTTGTTTTCTTGCTTTATCTCTCTCCCCCCACCTCCTTCTCCCCACCCCAAGCTCCCAGTCTGTCCCTCTCTGGTCAAATTAAAATAAAATGAATAAATAATAAAGTCAAATAAAATAATTCTTTAAAGAAAAGAAAAAATAATAAATAAGAGGCATCTTACTACCTGACTTTAAAGTTTATTATAAAGCAGTGATCCTCAAAATAGCATTGTACTGGTATAAAAAACAGACACAAAAAAGATCAGTGGAGCAGAATAGAGAATCCAGAAAAAAAAAAAAAACATACAGCTAACTGATTTTTGAGAAAGGGTATAAGACAAGGAGATGGAGAAAACTCCTTTCAGCCAATTGTCCTGGAAGAACCTGATATCCACCTGCAGAAAAGTGAAGCTGGACCCCTATCTCTCACCATTAAGAAGAATCAACTTAAAATAGATTAAAGATTTAAACATAAATCCTCAAAGTATACACTTACGAGAAAATGTAGGAAAAACTTTAGAAAATATTAAAGTAGGCCAAGATTTCCTAAATAAGATCCCTAACGCACAGGCAATCGTCCCCAAAATAGACAAGCGGGATTACATTAAGCTAAAAAGTTTCCTCACAGCAGAGGAAACACTAATTAGAGTGAAAACACAACCCTTGGAATGGAAGAAAATATTTGCAAGTTATTCCTTACGCTATGTGACTGAAACTACAGAAATTTATTTCTTACACTTTTGGATCCTGGAAGTCCAAGATCAAGATACCTACAGGCCAAGGGTCTGGGTCCACTTTCAGGTTTGCAGATGGCTTTTTGTTGTATCCTCACATGGCAGAGAGGAGAAGGAGAGCACACACATACACCAGTGCTCCTCTTCCTCTTATAATAATATGAATCCTATAATGAGGGCCCTTTTATAATGACCTCCCAAAGGCCACATCCTAATACCATCCAATTGTAGGTTAGAGTTTCAGCATATAAACTTGAGGGGAACCCAGGAAAGCAATCATAACGCTAGGTTCCCAATATTCCTTAACCCTTATTATCTTAGCCTGTATCTCCAATTCTTTGTATTATTCCCTAATCCATATTATTTTAGCCTGTATTCCCAATTCTTTGTATTATTATCATTATATTAACATTTATTTTTATAATATTAGTCAAAAAGCGTTACACAACCAACGGTGACAAGTTCTAATTACCCATCTCTTTGGAAATACACTGCGCGCAAAATGCATTTCCATTTTAACCAACCGTGTTGTTGTTCCAGTACAGGCTGCATTTTACACAAATAAAGCAACCCCCTCACGTCCTCACCTCTCGCCCCAGTAGGTGGGAGCTCACCAGTACACCTAGCAAAGCTCTGGCCCCAGACTGGCAGGGAAATTCAATGTCTGCAACCAACACACCTTGGCCAATCAGAAGCCAAGTTTAAGCCACTGCCCCATCCTAAAGATATGATTGGTGGTTTCCCGGGAGGGGAAGACACTCTCCGCGGCCACGTCCGGTGCCCTCTAGTGCCAGTCGACCGTTGCTCCACAGCTGCAATTTCAGACGCGCGCCAGCTGTTGAACATGGCAAGGACGCTTAGTCAACGGCTCCGCACCTACCGGGCTGTGCGGACGGTAAAGGATGCAGACCCCGCAGAGGAGCTAAAGGCCAAGGAGGACGAAAGATGACCAGGAGCAGTTCGAGTGCCAGGAGCTACTTGAGTGCCAGATGCAGGTCCGGACCCCCGAGGAGGAGGAGGAGGGCTCGGGCCTCATGGCCAAGGCCGAGGCCGTGGCCGCGGCCGCCGGCTGGATGCTGGATTTCCTCTGCCTCTCTCTTTGCCGAGCCTTCTGCGATGGCCGCTGTGAGGACTTCCGTAGGACCCGGGACAGCGCTGAGGGTGAGTGCGGGCGCTCCTGGGCGGGGGCTGCGGAGGCAGGTGCCCTGCGCTGTTCCTCAGTGGGGTCGGGGTGAGGAGGGTCCGGCGAGGCAAATGAGTTGAGGTTCCGAGGCTCCGGACCGAGTTTGGTTCCAATCCCGATTCTGCCACTGTCAGCTCCTCGGTTTTTCTCAGGTTCAGGTTTTCCCCTCGATACAATGAGACTAAGACCTCCGATTAGAGTGGACAGAAGGACTAAATGACTTAAAGTGTATAAAACTGCACCCATCCTTGTGCCCAGCTCGTTCTGTCTCATCTGGCTGGTGTTCCTATAGTAGTACTTCTGAGCAATCCCTAGCCTCTAGGGACTTCAGCCTCAGTATTTCATGCTAATTCCGGAGGTATTTAAACCACATTTGGCCAGCGGCCAGCGGGTGGCGCAGTGGCTACCTGGCTGGATTCCAACCTGGTCTCCGGTTGGAATCTCCCACCAGTGACTTGAAACTCAGCCGAGTGCGTGCCCAAGATCCCCGCAGGAGAATGGAGGAAAAGGGATTGCCTCGTGACTGTGTCCCCCCACTCCACCCCCACCCCCGGTGATTTCTTACTTTCCTTTCTTACTGCCTCTTTTTCTCTCTAGGGCGAGCACACGCGCCCCATAAGGCAAAAACCTCTTAAAACAAAAAGTAAAATAAACTTCCTTCGGCCTATTGGTCAGGATAGGGCTCAGAATAAAAGTAGCTGCCCATGAGATCTGCTGCCTACACAGCTTGTAAGTGATGGGCAAAGGCCCATAGAGAAGAGTAGTGCAGCTTTTTGAAAGAACAGAATGCTGTGTTTGTACTTTCTTTTTCAGAATTGGCACTGAATTTACAGTATAAGCATGTATATTCATCATTGTATAGATATGAACCAAACAAAATAAAACGCATAAGGGTCTATTGGCTAGGAATAATAATAGCAACTATAAATGGGCACTTACTTACTAGAGGCCAGGCACTACTCTAAGCACTTCATACCCGCGATTTCATCTGAGGGTGGTTTTGTCCCCTGAGAGAAAATTGACATGTCTGAAGACATTTTTCTTTTTTAAGTTCATCTATTTATTTCAAGAGAGACATACATACATACGAAGATTTAACCCCACAGTTGGCCATGTGGGATCCAGCTCCCTTAACCATTAGACCACAGGACCAGCCCATAATTTTAGGTTTTTTTTTTTTCCTTTATAATTCACAGAGGGCATATGAACTCACCTATCTCAAAGGTTCAAAGAATGAAATGGCAATAGTATATGAGGCATCTGTAATTATTAATACTCTATAGTAGACCAAATTAAACAGGCAAGTGAAATAGGAGTTTGAGTTTTCCCTAGACTATAAAGAGACTTATAAAAATCTCATAGAAAAGTGAAATTAACATACAAGTTTCTTTTGTTGCAAAAATATTTTAAAATCCTTGCATATTTTCTTCATAACGCATATTTCTGTTAACCTTTTGAAGATTCCCTTCTTACATAGATTAGGTCTTGTTTTGCCCAAATTTTACTTACCTTTGTAGCACTTATTAAAATTTTAATAAACTACTTGTTAACTTTAGTTTAATTCAAATCTTTATAGACCAGAACCTTCATGAGGGGATTGGCTCTTATCTCTGCCTTCTCAGCTCCTTACACAGGCTAACAGATGTTTGTAAATATTGTAGTTAAACTCTGTGCTGTTGTTTAATCTTTAATTTTATTATGACTACATTTGGAATAGCATAAAATTATGGCACTTTAAAATGGAAGAAACGAGGGGTAAATAAGTTCGTCTTATTGCTAAGTGCTGTATTATTAGACAGATGTACTGTCTGGGTCTGATTACCTGTCACACAGTAAGCCAATTTCTGAGATGAGTTTGCTTAGTGGAAGGCTCTGTTACAGACGATAACAGCTGGGACAGCGGTACACTCCAAGAATCTTTAAAGTACTGTCTCCACAATTAAAGGACAAGCAGGACTTCTAAACCTAAGTCAGGAGTGTGACAAGGAGAAGGTCTGGGGATGGGAACCCAGGGGCTTTCCAGACAAGTTTCTATGATGTCATCTGTGATAGATGGTGTGTTTTCTTGGTGCCAGGTAATATTGAGAAGGGTCCAGAGTGAGATGTTTTCATCTGGTCTGTTCTGGGTAAAGGACTCAAGACAAAGAATCTTTAGGACACCTGGGTCTCTTTTAATCTTTATGTGCTACTTGTGTCTGTGTCCTATGAAAGTTGAACAGTTATGGCTATCACAGTGTTGTCATTACAGGACCATATTCACAGAGAGCAGATAGTATCGATTAGGAGGGAAAAGGAGCATGAGTTCATTTTATTATATAAAATAAATAACCTAGGACTCTAGAGATATTTCTTTTTTCAACCTGGTAAATATTTTGTTTAATACTAAACAAAAAAACTTACATGTTTTTTCTCCTCTCAGGGACCAGTATTAGCTGGTTTTTAGTTTGCACGTTTTTTAAGCTTTTTATACACCAACCAGGCCCTGGGTGAACCAGAATGCTAACTGTGATGCCTTCAGGTCTTAGCTTGGACATTGTTTCCCTAGAGATGTCTTCCGGACACCCTCTTTCCCCCCAAGATACTGAAACATACTCACTTCCATAGCATCCTGTATCTTTTCTATTTTCACCACATTTTTACTTTTATTATTCATTCATTTTTCTCTCATTGCTACATGGTTATAAGCTGAGGTCTGAGAACCTAGTTTACTCGCCATGGTACATGGTCACTGCCTGGCATATCTGGGTTGACATTCAGATATTTGGGAAATTGATATTAATGTGTATTAAACACAAAGCTTTGTAAATTGAACAGACTCTCACTTAACTAAAACCTTGACACTGTGATATATTCCCTATAAAATAGTTTATTTTAAAATTTGGATCTAAATCTCCCTCTTTGTAAGTATAGAGTGCTACCTGTGAAAGTAATTTTAAATATTTATTCTATATGTGAAACACCTGTTATATTTTGGGACAAGTCGATGGTGTAATGGTTACACTACTGGACTTCCACGTAGTCTACTGACAGCAGTTTGAGTCCTGGACCCTGCGACTTAAAAACTCACACTGGGCCCATGAGTGTGCATGCCAAAGAGCCCAAGAGGAGAATGGAGGAGAAGAGACTGTGTCATGGTCATCCCCCCTGGGGGTGGTTTCTCACTGTCTGTGTCTCTCTCTGTCTCTCCGGCAAGCACATGTGCCCTATAGCAAAAATCTCTCTCAAAAAAAAAGTTAAAATAAAAAAAAAAACACCGTTATATTTTGAAAGAAATGCTTATTGTTTTGATTTTTGAAATGTTGACTCTAAACTTATCATTTTTATGAAATGTTTGTAACAAACCACATAGTGGCAGTACTGCGTCAAGTTTGATTTTAATAATTTTTTCTTCTTTTTCAGCTATTCTTCATGGACTCTCCAGTCTAACTGCTTATCAATTGAGAACTATATATATATGTCAGTTTTTGACAAGAATTGCAGCAGGAAAAAGCCTTGGTAAATTTGTGTTTTTATCTTATAGTAGAAATATTTCAGTCTGTGGATAAATGTAGCACTGTGACAAGAAACAGAAACAGATGGGAGGTTTTATTTTTTCATTCCCCTAAGAGTTTGCTCACATGTATCTGGTATATACATACACACACACACACACACACACACACACACACCTGACATGTATGTATGTGTGTGTATATATAAACAAGTAAAGGAAATACAATCCTAGGCCATTTCTACAGCCTGGTGGTTAATACAGTCAGATCTCAGATGGCCAACTGTATGGTTCAAGTCCCTGACCCAGTGGCTTGAGAAACATAACTGGTGCACGTGCATGTGTGCCCAGAATCTCAAAATTTAGGACAGGGGGAGGAGAAAGGATTGCAGTGTGACCATTCCCCCGTGGTGGATGCCTTCTCCTCTCCTCTGTCTCTCTGGTTAGTGCACAGGCCCTCTAACACACACACACACACAAAATACATAATCCCTATCTTCTTAGGATAGTAAGTCTCAAACTTTAACCTGCTTTAGAATTACTTAGAAAGCTTGTTGAAAAACAGACCAGTGAGTCTTGTGGGCCCTTCTATCCCAAAATGAGTTTCAGATTCAGTAGGATGGATGTGGGGCCCCGGGATTTACATTTCTATTAAGTTCCCTGATGATTCTGATGCTGCTGTTGAGAACTACACTTCCTGGACTCTGGGAGATTTCACTTCACTTTAAATTATACTTTATGATAACTTTGTGTTGCCTCCTGTCCTATACACTCTGTTTTATATTGACTGCGATGATATTTGAAACCTTCTATTTGGATTTTATGTTGTACTTATATGAGGAAATACAACATATATTAATAGTTAAAAATCTCCCTCGTCCCCATAGTTTATTTTAGATTGTAATAGGCAACCCCACTTCAGTTTATAATGACTGATATTTACAACATGGTCAGTTACAGTGCTGTCTGAAAAAATAGTTAAGTTTTTATATTGGTTTTTACAATTTATGAAATGCTTTCCTAACAATCCTAAGTGGTGGAAGGTACTTCTATGAAGCTACTTACTTATAAACATGTTGCATTACATAAGATCCCAGGGTATTAGTACCACTTTCAGAACCCTTACTGGTGTTGCTCTGGCTTATGTAGCCTGCTTTGATTTGGGGGTGAGGTCCGTGTGGAGTTGGTAGTAAGGGATAGATCTAGAAACGTAGTAGGTGTGAAAGGGAAGTACAGGTTGGATTGGGCCTTTAGCTGAAGAAGAAAACAGAGTAATGTGGACATAGTTGGAAAACTCCAGACCAAACCAACTCTAAGTTAACATTGTTAACACGGTTATTTTGTCAATTAAATGTGACAAAATATTGTCAAGTGTCTAGTAGTATTTCATAGATAGCAGTTGTTCAGTATATCTTAGTTTCTTTCAAGACTATTTTCTCTCCCAAAAAAGGGCGTTTTGAAAGAAAGCATGCTGATGAAAAGTGAGGAAGAAAGGCCATCTACTTTTGCATTTCACTATTTTATTACACATACCTTAGCCGTACCAGCCATCTTGTTATTTGTAAAAGTACACTGTTTTCAAGGCATACTAACTGGTTCTTAAGGGTCTTGGTATCTGCTTCCACCCCTTGTAGCTGGACTTTCTAGATCTAAGGTCCTGCTTTATGAAAGAAGAGTAGTAACAGTACCTGACACTTAGAAAGTCCTATGTATTAGTATGAATACCTTTTGCACACTTGTGCTCCCTTTTTCTCTAATGTTCTCCTTTCCCTGTCCTCTTCACATAATTATCTTCTATTTGTCCTTAATGTTCCTGTTCTGATGATTTCTCTTTCCTGAAGGAGTCTCTTCTGTTGGGTTGCTAGAAAAGTCATTACATATTTTTTCTATGCAAAATGCATCATGACTTCCAACTACCCAATGGGATCCTCCCTACTGAGAGTTAATATCTCATTTCTCAAACACACTAAACTCTGACAGAGGGGTGGGCCTAGGTTCCAATATTTTTAAAAGTTCCTCAGATGATTCTGAAATAATATTGAGTTGTCAGAAAAGTCATGACACATTTTTACAACAAATAGTGCTAGTTCATTTTTGGAAGTACTGGAGTCATTAGCATCTGTGTTGTTGTCATGTCATTAGCATCTGTGTTGTTGTCATGTCATATGACAGTTCTATTTTCATTCTGAAAAGACATCAAGAGATTTGATTGAGTTTTGGAGATTTGACAAGTTGAAGATGAAAGAATAAACTTTATTGTCACCATGTTCTACTGTTTAACTTCCGTATAGGGAATAACACATGTCAAGCTCGTGAAAAGGTGCATGAAGTTTATGGTGACAATGCTCAAGAAGAACATGAATGCCAATGATAGTTCATAAAATCCCATGCTGGTGATTTTGATCCCAGTGAAAGCTCCTTGGTCAGGAAGGTCCACTGAGTTTGATGATGACAAAATAAAGGCATTGACTGAGTCAAATCCATGTGACATGACATGGGAAGACTGCAGAAACATGGAACATCCTTCATTCTAGCATTTACAGCCATCTGAAGAAGCTGAGATACATAAGGAAGCTCAATATTTGGGTTTCTCATGAACTCAAAGAAGTTCATTGGGTGGCACGTAGAAACACCTGCAGTATGCTCATTAAACGTGAAGAGAACAATCCTTTTCTGAAACGACTTATAACTGATGATAAGTGGATTGTTTACAACAACGTGGTGTGCAAATGTCTTGGTCCCAACGTGATGATTTGCCTCAAACGACATCAAAGCAGGCATTCGGCAGAGAAAGGTCATACTCTCAGCGTGGTGGGATTTTAAAGGTGTCATAATTTTTGAGGTCCTACCAAGGAACCAAATAGTCAATTCTTATGTGTCCTGTCAGCAATTGGACAGTTTTAACAGATCCATCATCCAGAAATGTCTAGGTCTCATTGATTGTAAAGGAGTTGTGTTTCATCATGGCAACATGAGGCTACACACAGGTTTGATAACCTGCCAAAAATTATTGGAGCTTGGATGGGATATGTTGCCACCCCCACCATACTTGCCTGACCTTGGGCCATCAGATTTCCACTTGTTTTCCTCTCTTCTAAACTCCTTAGGTGGTATAACGTTCAATTCAGATGAGGCTGTAAATCAGCACCTTGTTCAGTTTTTCACTGACGAAGACAGGTCCTTCTGTGAATGAGGAATTATGAAGCTCCTGAAAGATGGCAAAGGGTAATTGAACAAAACAGGCAATATATCATTGATTATTGTTGTTCTTTATATAAATAAATGACCTTTGAAAAGCACAGAAAAAATACATCATGACTTTTCTGACAACCCAATAGCAAGCATCAAGATCTACTGGTATAGGGCCACCAGGAGGTATGGTAGTTAAGGTGTTAGACTCCCCACATGATCGACTGCAGTTTGAGTCCTGGACCTGGCAGCTTACTTTCTCCCTCTCTCTCTCTCTCTCTCTCTCTCTCTCGACAGTCCACATGCCCTAGAAAAAATTTGAAAATAATAAATAAGTCTTTGGGGGAAAAAAGGTGTACTGGTATCATACATAGTTCTAGTAAAGTACCAGTTACTTTAGTTTTGTCCGTGTCTTTTTCTATAGCTACTATGTGAATTCCATAAGGTTAGGAACAGTTTCTTTTTTTCGAGAGGTTTTTGTCATAGGGCGCGTGTGCTCACCAAAAAGACAGACAGAGACAGAGAGACAGAAGCGAGAAATTACCCTCCAGGGGTGATGGCCACGCAGCAGTCCTTTCTCCTCCATTCTCCTCTCGAGATCTTGGGCACGCACACACACGTGCCCGGTGTGAGTTTAAGCCACCGGGTCTGGAACTCGAACCACGGTGGACTACATGGCAGTTCAGCGACATAGCCATTACGCCAACTGTTAGTCTCATACCGGGAATAATGAGTAGGATAAAGATAAATGGTCTGGTTTCTTTGGTTAGAACGCCCTTAATTCATTTTCATTGGTTATGGGCTTTAGAGTATTGCCTCATATAAGTGATAGAGCAACAAAATTGTCAAGGTGGTAGATTCAGGATGCGCTGCCGCCATTTTCTGGTCTTCCGACTCTACGCATCTCACAGAGCTTCCAGCAGCACCATGCTGGGACAGAGTATCTCTAGGTTTCACGACCTCTGTGGCCCATAGGAGCCACTATGAGGAGGGCCCGGGGAAGAATCTGCCATTTTCAGTGGAAAGCAAGTGGAGGTTACTCGTTATGATGACTTTATACTTTGGATCTAGATTTGCTGCACCTTTCTTTATAGTACGACACCAACTACTTAAGAAATAAGGATGTTTGGGAACCAGCAGTTAGCGTAATGGCTATGTTGCTAGACTCCCATGTAGTCGACCACGGTTCGCGTCCTGGACCCGGTGGCTTAAAACTCACGCTGGGTGCGTGTGCGTGCGTGCCCAAGATCCCGAGAGGAGAATGGAAGAGAAGGGATTGCGGCGTGACCATCCCCCCTGGGGGGTGATTTCTCGCTTTCTGTCTCTATGTCTCTCTCTGTCTGGTGAGCGCACGCGCCCTATAGTGAAAACCTCTCCAAAAAAAAAGAAGAAATAAGGATGTTTTAATTAATCCATTTAATTGATATGAAGAACATTTTAAGAGGTACAGCCACAATCTCTGGAATATGGATCAAATTCTTAAACTCATCGCATACTAGGTATATTTGTATATAAACTTATGACCTGAATGCATAATGCCTCTTTTCTGAAATAAGGATATGATTAATTGAACATGTCCTTACTTTAGTTTTTGGGTAATATTACCAAACTAGTTTCTTCATGTAGAATTGTGTGGGACTTATCCTATTTTTATGGTCATAAATTCCAAGAACTTATTTTTGACTTCTGTGTCAGGACCTTGTTGGCTGTGTATATTATAAAAGAGAAATGCAAATTTGAAAAAAAAAAAAAAAGATGGTAGATTCAGAATGAAGCATTCTCTCTAATTAGAACAAATAAAATGAGAATTCTGCAG